GAGCTCAGACTTAAATGTAAGCAAGGTGGTTGAAGTTGAGTGACAAGGAAAGACAATTAAGACTATAATTACCCAGTAAAATAAGGTAATCAGCTTCTCCATTATCAACATGCCCCATAATGTTGGGGGTCTTAGATGCCTCACTGCTTCTATATTGCCAGCTTTATCAGTGGACACATACATCTCATCCACACCCATGAATCCTCCTAAGGCTGGTCAAGATTACACTCTTTTGCCTTCTTTACTTCTAGATTTAACCATTGTAATAGGATCAATCTAGGACTAACCATGAAAGCCACCTGGAGGTTTCAGCTACAGCAAGGAGCAGCTGCCCTCCTGAATGGAACAAGAGATAAAAAAATATACCACATCCATGCTCTGCAACCTGCACTGGCTGATAGATGAAATTCAAAGTGTTGATCACTATTCACAAATCCTTTAATGTCCTAGGGCCCCACTTACTTTAAAGACCAGCCTCTCCATCTCTGACCCAACCCTGTACAGATCACTCAAACTCATTGTCCCAATATAAGGTTGTTAGTAGCCAGAAGCAGGCTGTTCTCAAAGCACCTGCACCCAACAGAAATACATTTAACCATATCCTGCTGCATCTTTTCACCCAAATTTTATCTGTTTATGAGCTATGAAATCCTGGGCTTTTAGCCAACTGGCCTCATCTCCTTCAAAGCTGCAAGTTAAACAATTCTAAATAAAAGAAGCAAAAATGCCAGTCTTGTGTATTACCATATTTAAGCCACAGAGTACACCCAGAGACCACAGGCACCCTATAAATATATGTAAATAACGTGACCACCACCAAAAGCATACCTCATGCACCTCTACAGAAGCAACATCAGTTCTATCAAAAGGACCACAACTCTGCTCCCCGCCCTCTTTGACACTCCCCAAACCAGATCAACCTCACTAGTGGCCTTCTGCTCTTAGGGCTGCTCTCTTCACCTAGGACTTCTACTAATGAGAAGAAATAAGGCTTGCAGGGAGGCTAGATATAGGCCCATCTGATCGCCAGTGGCAGAAAATTCCATAGGCAAGGGCTTTTAATAGGAAATGCTGCCCACAACCTCCTAGGGAAGAAACAAAGCTAGAAATCAGAGGTCCTTTCTCTGCCATCCCTCTCCCAAATGATACATATTTAGGATTTTCTGCCCCAGGAGGTGCTGGCAGAATCTACTTCACTGGGTTCTAAGAAAAAAGAATCAAAGAGTTCCAGCTCAGCGTAGAAATGGGATTAGGTGCAAGAGTCAGTGAATGACATTCACTGGCACTAGGTTTAAACTAAGAGAAGGAATTTCCCTCCAGCATGTATAGGCTGAGACCTCCAGGGAGGAGTCTGCTCTCCTCCAGGACACAGTACAACTGAGAATCTATTAGGTTCACATGGCCATATCCCACAAGCTGTAGCTCACGAAAGCTCATGCTCAAATAAATTGGTTAGTCTCTAAGGTGCCACAAGTACTCCTTTTCTTTTTGCCAATACAGACTAACACGGCTGTTACTCTGAAAATTGCTTCACTGTGATTGAAGGAGGGTAATCAACACTGGCGACCTTGATCCCTATCTCCTGCATCCATTCTTAATGGTTCACTTGGAGCATAGTTAATAGTGCAGAAGAAATAAGCAATTTCATCAATTAAAATCAATGATGTAACAAAACCCTAACATTCCGACAGCAGCACTACAAAAAGGCATCCAGCATAGGAACAGATCTAATTTAGCCTGCCAGCACAGTCCAGCCACAGCCTGAATCTTACAGATAGGTCACACCCATGAATGCTATACTGCAAGAAACTGTTTGTCTCTCTCCATATCAAAAAACAGCTGGACATTTCTAAAATTAAGCCAAATTATTCAAGTGTAAGGGTGTTGATTTCCCCCTCACAAAGAAATTAGCACTCATAGCAACAGTGCAAATGAAGGCTGCAGATTTTCAGTGAAGTGCAATCACACTGTTTTTAATGAATGCACAGCTATATTAGCGTTTAGTGCAACTACTATCTGGGCACATGCTACCATGGGAAGGCACAGTCAAGGGTGCACAAAAAACTGCAGAGACAGCACCACACCTGGTGGGCTGATGGCACTGAATCACAGTACCCCACCTTGTTTACTACTGGGCCAGATGTAAACACAGTGACAGGCACTGCCTCATTCAAGCCACCTGCTGCTTTCATGCACCTAGAACCTCATATAATGAATTCCCTCTAATGGCTTTTCTAAAAGCCACCCAAGCTCTGTTCACCAGGTGAAGTGTAGGAGCATGACAGCTGTGGGTTTTTCTGCAGAGGTCACCTGAGGGTTGATTAAACTGGTATCACACAGGGAAAAAAAAAATCCTGCAGTTTTTGCAGCTCAAGAACGCAGGGCTCAGAAAGCAGCACAGCTGTGGAGCAGCACACAGGACAGAGAAAGACAGAGGATTGCAAGTGCTGCACATGTAAAACAAATAAAACCCATTCCAGCACAAACACAAACTCATCCCCTTATGCACACACCCTACCCCATACCAATACACACCCCCAGCACATCCCACTGCAGCCCTATAATCCACACACCCTTTATCACAATACCATTGAACAGATCCTATGATATGAAGAGTCTGAACCACACACTCCCCTTTTCCCTACATCCACACACACCCCATCTCACCACCCCATAATAATCAGCACCTCATGGACATCCATACCCCCACACCCACAAGCCTATAGTCTCTATACCCTGCACACACCCATATGCATCCATACCCCATATCAGTGCGCACCCTGCCAACAACCATGCCTTACCCCCTCTCACTTGCCACATATATATACCCCCCAACCCCAGCCCACCCTCTTTTGCACTTGCCCCTTCACCCCAGTCCCAATCTCTCATACTACCCTACATCCTCATAAACCCCTGTTCAGATACCCCCAGCAACCCTCCCCCACAGCATGTCCGACACCAACACCCCACAGTGGGGGGGGGCATTAAAACCCAATACCACTAGCACAGACCCCCCCCAAAGAACCCCAACCCAGCAGGGGGAGTGGGATGCAGTGGAGCTGTGAGGAAGGGCCTCAGCGGGGGGGAGAAGGGGGGAGGTTAGCGCTATAAGGTGGGTTTCAGGGGGAAGGGGACACAGTAGGGGTGGAGCTTGAGGGGAGAGGACACAGACCAACCCCCCCCCGCTGGGGGACATGGTGAGGGTGGGGCTGTGAGGGGGGTCTCAGAGGAGAAGGGGACACCAGGGGGTGGGGCTGTGAGGGGGGCACACGGACCCCAGCCCAGCGGGGGGAAGGACGCCGGGGAGGGGCTGTGAGGGGGGCACACGGACCCCAGCCCAGCGGGGGGAAGGACGCCGGGGGAGGGGCTGTGAGGGGGGCACACGGACCCCAGCCCAGCGGGGGGAAGGACGCCGGGGGGGGCTGTGAGGGGGGCACACGGACCCCAGCCCAGCGGGGGAAGGACGCCGGGGAGGGGCTGTGAGGGGGGCACACGGACCCCAGCCCAGCGGGGGAAGGACGCCGGGGAGGGGCTGTGAGGGGGCACACGGACCCCAGCCCAGCGGGGGAAGGACGCCGGGAGGGGCTGTGAGGGGGCACACGGACCCCAGCCCAGCGGGGGAAGGACGCCGGGAGGGGCTGTGAGGGGGCACACGGACCCCAGCCCAGCGGGGGAAGGACGCCGGGGAGGGGCTGTGAGGGGGCACACGGACCCCAGCCCAGCAGGGGAAGGACGCCGTGGGGGGCTGTGAGGGGGCACACGGACCCCAGCCCAGCGGGGGAAGGACGCCGTGGGGGGCTGTGAGGGGGCACACGGACCCCAGCCCAGCGGGGAAGGACGCGTGGGGGGGGCTGTGAGGGGGCACGGACCCCAGCCCAGCGGGGGGAAGGACGCCGTGGGGGGGCTGTGAGGGGCACACGGACCCCAGCCCAGCGGGGGAAGGACGCCGTGGGGGGGGGCTGTGAGGGGGCACACGGACCCCAGCCCAGCGGGGGAAGGACGCCGTGGGGGGGGCTGTGAGGGGGGGCACGGACCCCAGCCCAGCGGGGGAAGGACGCCGTGGGGGGGCTGTGAGGGGGTACACGGACCCCAGCCCAGCGGGGGAAGGACGCCGTGGGGGGGCTGTGAGGGGGTCACGGACCCCAGCCCAGCGGGGAAGGACGCCGGGGGGGGGGGCTGTGAGGGGGTACACGGACCCCAGCCCAGCGGGGGAAGGACGCCGGGGGGGGGCTGTGAGGGGGCACACGGACCCCAGCCCAGCGGGGGAAGGACGCCGGGAGGGGGCTGTGAGGGGGCACACGGACCCCAGCCCAGCGGGGGAAGGACGCCGGGGAGGGGCTGTGAGGGGGCACACGGACCCCAGCCCAGCGGGGGAGGACGCCGGGGAGGGGCTGTGAGGGGGGCACACGGACCCCAGCCCAGCGGGGGGAGGACGCCGGGGGGGGGGGGCTGTGAGGGGGGCACACGGACCCCAGCCCAGCGGGGGGAGGACGCCGGGGGGGGGCTGTGAGGGGGGCACACGGACCCCAGCCCAGCGGGGGAGGACGCCGGGGGGGGGGGCTGTGAGGGGGGGCACACGGACCCCAGCCCAGCGGGGGAGGACGCCGGGGGGGGGCTGTGAGGGGGGCACACGGACCCCAGCCCAGCGGGGGGAGGACGCCGGGGGGGGGCTGTGAGGGGGGCACACGGACCCCAGCCCAGCGGGGGGAGGACGCCGGGGGGGGCTGTGAGGGGGGCACACGGACCCCAGCCCAGCGGGGGAGGACGCCGGGGGGGGCTGTGAGGGGGCACACGGACCCCAGCCCAGCGGGGGGAGGACGCCGGGGGGGCTGTGAGGGGGGCACACGGACCCCAGCCCAGCGGGGGAAGGACGCCGGGGAGGGGCTGTGAGGGGGGCACACGACCCCAGCCCAGCGGGGGGAGGACGCCGGGGGGGGGCTGTGAGGGGACAGTGCGGGGGGAGAGGGGGGAACAGGTGCCGGGGGGGGGGCCGCACCTACCTCTCCGCCATCTTCCCCGGCAGCTCGCTAGCGCGCGGCAGGCTGGGTGCGCAGAGCGGCGGCCCCCGCCCGCCAGCCCATGGCCCCAGCGGCTCCGGCTCCCGACACCGACTGAGGCTCCGGCTCCGGCTGCAGCCCCGCCGCGTCCCCCCGTCACCATCGACAACCTGACCTCACCCGGCCGCAGCCAACCAGGCGCCGCGGGGGGCGGGGCCTGCGGCCCAAGCCCCGCCCCCCGCCCAGGTGCTCATGGGAGGTGTAGTTCCTGCCCGGGGAGGCAGGGGCTGCAGCAGCTACAGCCCACCTGTGGGCAACAGCTGGGCCCAGTCCATAGCACTCACCTGTAATCGCCTGCTGCTCCCCTAACTCTGCCTGTTCCAATCTATTTCTGTCCTAGAATTTCCTAGAATCTGCCCATTTCTGCCCTCTGCTAGCCCCCCTACCAATGGTGCTGGAACAATGTGTACAGTGGGGGTGCTGAGAGCCCTTCAACCAACCTGTAAACCCGGGATAGGATGGAAACCGCTGCAAGCTAAGGGGTGCCACCCCCACCACCCTTAGTTACAGCACCTAGGCCCCCTACTCACATTCCAGCCCCTGTATTTTAATCACCTGGGAGCCCCACATTCAGGAAGTGGGGCCTATTGTGCTAGGTGCTGTACAAACAAAACAGGTGACATTGAAGGGCCTGTGATATGCAGGCAGTCGGACCAAATGATCTCTTGGTTCCTTCTAGTCTTAAACTCTCTATAAACAAAAAGACAATCCCTACATTGGAGCGTTTACAGTCCAAATAACTCTAGTCTTTAATCAACCCCATTTAATTTGACTTTACACAGTCTAGTTGTTTATAATCTACCTATTTTTAGCAACATTTTGCACACTTCATACTAACTGGTGGTGGATTATTTTTAATTGTGCTGCTGCACTTAAGACGTATTTTTAAATTATGTTAGGGTACCTGGTGCATACAGAGTAGGGGTTTTACGATTTCTATAATGCAATTTGTTATCCTTATTTTAACAATACAAATATTATTTGAATTACAGTAGCATTTAGAAGCTTCACTCAAGATCAGGGCCCCATTGTGCTAGGCACTGTATACAAAACTTTGCATTGGTCTTCATGGCTGGGGATGTGAGGGAGATCCCTAAACCTGAGCCATTCTTTCTGGTGGAAAATCTGAGGAACTGTCCCAGACTGAAGTATCATTAGGAGAGTTTTTGGAACAAATTGATAAACTAAACAGTATTAAGTCACCAGGACCAGAGGGTATTCACCCAAGAGTTCTGAAGGAACTCAAATGTGAAATTGCTGAATTACTGACTGTGGTATATAACCAGCTTATGTACCAGATGACAGGAAGACAGCTTATGTGAGGCCAATTTTTACAAAAGGTTCCAGATGAGATCCCGGCAATTTCAGGCTGGTAAGCCTAACTTCAGTACCAGCCATGAAACCATAATAAAGAACAGAATTGTCAGATACATAGATTAACATGATTTGTTGGGGAAGAGTAAACATGGTTTGTGTAAAGGGAAATCATACCTCACCCATCTACTAGAATTCTCTGAGGGGGTCAGCAAACAGGTGGACAAGGGTGATCCAGTGGATATAGTGTACTTAGATTTTCAGAAAGCCTTTGACAAGGTCCCTCACCAAAGGCTATTAAGCAGAGGAAGCTGTCATGGGATAAGAGGGAAGGTCCCTCTCATGGATCAGTAGCTGGTTAAAAGATAGGAAACAAAGGGTAGGAATAAATGGTCAGTTTTCAGAATGGCGAAAGGTAAGTAATGGTTTCCCCCAGGGGTCTGTACTGGACCCAGTCCTATTCAATATATTCATAAATGACCTGAGAAAAGGGCTAAATAGAGAGGTGGTCAAATTTGTAGATGATACAAAATTACTCAAGATAGTTAAGTCCCAGGCAGACTGTGAAGAGCTGCAAAGGGATCTCTCAAAAATGGGTGACCACTGAGTCACAAAATGGCAGATGAAATTCATTGTTGATAAATGCAAAGTGATGCACATTGGAAAGCATAATCCCAACTATACATATAAAATGATGGGGTCTAAATTAGCTGTTACCCCTCAAGAAAGAGATCTTGGAGTCATTGTGAATAGTTCTCTGAAAACATCCACTCAATATGCAGCGGCAGTCAAAAAAACAAACAGAATGTTGGGAATCATTAGGAACGGGATAGACAATAAGACAGAAAATATCATGCTGCCTCTATATAAATCCATGCTACACCCACATCTTGAATACTGCATGCAGATGTGGTCGCCCCATCTCAAAAAGATATATTGGAATTGGAAAAGGTACAGAAAAGGGCAACAAAATTACTAGGGGATGGAATAGCTTCCATCTGAGGAGAGATGAATAAGACTGGGACTTTTCAGCTTGGAAAAGAGATGACTAAGGGGGATATGATAGAGGTCTATAAAATCATGACTGATGTGGAGGTGAATAAGGAAGTGTTATTTACTCCTTCTCATAACACAAGAACTAGGGGCCATCAAATTAAATTAACAGGCAGCAGGTTAAAACAAACAAAAGGAAGTATTTTTTCACGCAACGCACAGTCAACCTGTGGAACTCCTTGCCAGAAGCTGTTGTGAAGACAAAGACTATAACAGGGTTCAAAAAAGAACTAGATAAATTCATGGAAGAAAGGTCCATCAATGGCTATTAGCCAGGATGGTCAGAGGTGGTGTCCCTGGACTCTGTTTTCCAGAAGCTGGTAGGGTTGCCAGCTCTCCAGGATTGTCCTGGAGTCTCCAGGAATTAAAGATTAATATTCAATTAAATATTATGTCATGTGATAAAACCTCCAGGAATACTTCCAGCCAGAATTGGCAACCCTAGAAGCTGGGAATGGGTGATGGGGGAACGATCACTTGATGAATACCTGTTCTGTTCATTACCTCTGAAGCACCTGGCATTGGCCACTCTCTGAAGACGGGATCCTGGGCTAGATGGACTTTTGGTCAGACCCAGTATGGCCATTCTTACGTAAAGCAGTCTCTGATTTGACAGTTCTACAGTCTACACAAGACAGATAACAGATGGTATAAAGACACAAAGTTACTTGCACAAAATCACAGTAGCAGAGCCATGAACAGAATCTATGTCTCCTGACGCCCAGTCCAACATGCTAGCTGCTAGATCACCCTGTAATCTGTTAAATTTCTTATTTAATGAGTTCTAGATTTTATCTACAACATAGCTATTTATCTAATCAATTTCACTTATTATCTTTAATCAATCTAGTTTTGTCTAATCCAGTCAACTTTTTATCTACTATTTCCAGTCGATTTTATCTAATGTATTTCTCATTTATTGTTTTTATTTTTGAGAATGACAGTCTTTATTATTAATATTGATCATGAATATTTTATGTTTCAAGAGCATTCATCCCAAAAGGTCCAAAAACACATCACAAATTACACATATGCAGAACCACTGAAACACAGCCATCTCTGGGCAGAGGGCTTCAGCCAACTGACACAGCTCCTACCAGACATTGAGTGCCAAATTAGTACATTTACTATTAATATTAAATTGCAATCTTCTTGGGGCAGAAACCAGTTTTCTATGGCCCTTCTGCAGATACATATACCCGTGACTAGATGCGTGTGATTAGTCCCACTGAATACATTGGGAATATCTGTATGATCAAAGTTACCCCTGAGTGTAACTATTTGCAGAATTGGAGTCCCTGCCCCCTATCTTGCAAACACTTAAGAATATGCAAAAGATTATTTATGTGAGTAGTCCCAGTTTAATCAATTAGACTACTCACGTGATTAAAGTTACGCACATGCTTAAATGTTTGTAGGATCAGTGAGTATGTTTGTAAACTACGTAATACAACTGTGTTCCTGCTTCATTCAGGGCCTTTGGGTACTAGCACAACATTACGTGCCACAGCATCAGGAGAGGAGAAATTTTAGCCAAAGAACCGAGACAAACACTCTGCTTTTACATAAAATGCTACGGACTTTTTGATGGTCACCCCGGTAACACCTTGTATTTGTTTCAGGTCTCATGCAAAGATGTACCCATGAGCAGAGAGAGATGGCCTGATGGAGACAGCAGAGGTCAAGCTTTGTAAAATTTGTGAGACAAGGATCACTTTGGGCTGCGTGTTTCCTCTGTAGGCTACTCCCAGGCCGAGCTCTTCTTTACCCCGTGGCCTCTTTAGACCCATCCTATAAACACATTTTATTTGGGGTTCACTTTGCCTTTGGAGAAACCACATCACCTCTAACTGGACTCAGGAGCAGACCAAGCAGCTTCCCAGGGCTTTTAAACCACACTGGTTCTTTGGCAGTAAAAAGAAGACTTTAGCTATTAAGCTGAGAATGGCAGGATTTCCACACATACTCACAGTTACCTCCAGTGAATTATCTCAAAGCCCTGTTCAACAATAGTGAGTTCAGCCTCTCAATGGTAGGTCACTAAAATTAGCCCTATTTTACAGATGGCACAGAGAGCAAAACTGAGACCAGATCCCAGATTACCTCAGTCCCATGGGTGTGCATTAACCAACCATCCTTCCTCCCTATTATCTATGCCACTTGAGATCAGACACATATATTCCAGGGAAGAAAGTTCCTGTTCTAAGAGCACAGCTGTGATCCTGCCCCAGCCCGGAGTCCCCTCCTGCACCCTGAACCCTTCATTTCTGGCCCCACCCCAGAGCCCGCACCCCCAGTTGGAGCTCTTACCCCCTCCTGCCCCAGCCTCCTACCCCCTGCCCCAGCACAGTGAAAGTGAGTGAGGCTGGGGGAGAGTAAGCAACAGAGGGAGGGGGACTGGAGTGAATGCGGGCGGGGCCTCAGACAAGGGGTGGGGCACGGTGTTCAGTTTTGTGTAATTACAAAGTTGGCAACCCTAGTTAGGTCACCGTAGATACATTGCTCAGGGGGTGTGGATTTTTCACACACATGAGCAAGGTAGCTATACTAACCTCACTTTTAAGTGTAACCGAGGTCTAAGGCCCCTTCACACTGCTCTGTGTCTGTGTGTGAGAATTTCATTTGCACTGCCAGATGGGTGTAAAGGGGCCTTAGCCTAAATGGGAATTAGGCCCATTATCATTATAAAGACTGTTTGTTAATGAACAGAGAAGAGGATAAAAACATTTGTT